GTTGCAGGTTCAAATCCTATAGTCAGCAGAGTGATTTTCCTGCTTGGCCCTTGACTTAAGGCCCCTAACCTCCAATTTCTCCTAAATAAATAGCTAAATAAAATAAACATAAGTTAAAATGTAAAGCAATCTAAAAAAAGGCCATTGTGAATGACCTTTTGACCGGTAGAAGTCTTAATCTCGAAGGACCTTAAGCATGCAGAACCAAAAGGGCTTTGGTTCATCCAGGCAGCATCCCCTGTCCATCCTACGGTCAACCCTGAAGGGGTGTGACATCATACCGCTATCAGGGTGGCGCGGATAGCATTAGCTTACAGTCACCACAGGGGGCCTCTTTAATAAAAACAGGTAATGAATATTAATGATTTACATGCAATTTCATTTGATGTTTTTGCTATTAATAACCATCGTGGGTTTATAAATGCATGGGTTATGTCAACGGAGAGCTTCAAAGGTGAGGACTACATCAGCCCGAGGCTAGTCATTCATCAAGGACACCTCAGAGAAGCCCGAGCGGAGACGCCCACTGGCAGCTGGGTGCCCGGCTCTGGCTGATTTTGGGCCACCTCAGCGGGAGGACCCAAAGCCACGGTGGACAGGATTCCTGCCTAATTAGCCCGATGACAGCCATTTAAATCTTACCTTCCCAGTTATTTGAAGTCTTCTGGGATTCTCCTCCTCAATCATCCACCGGAAAGCTATTAAACCCGGGTCAACTCACTTTTGTCTGTTTGCAGGGGGGTCAACAGCTGTGGGAAACATCAAATATCTCAGAAATATAAAAACACTGTCATAAATACATAAATAGTGCTATTATTTGATAGTCATCAGAGAGCATTTATAATAGCACCCAGACCGGACACGTACTGCGCCTTTAAGACTGAAGATCCCCACCGCACCACTATATGTGGGGCTGCACTCTTCAGTACCATGACATTTCTTCTGGAGGGAAATGACCTTGCTGTAAAAGGGATTCCAGGCTAAAAACCCCAAAACCAAAGTATTTAACTTAAATTGTTTGCAGTTACATTCCTGCCAAACTGTGTCGCCATGCAGCATCTGAAATGGTACCAAAGGCTTGTAAGAAACAGACATGTCATTCAGATTATGGGATGTCTTAAAGCTTATATAAAGAGTGGGATATAAACAAATGAACCGCTACTTAAAATTGCTGGCAGCTGAGTTTCAGAGGATATTCACGGATGATGAAAAGGCTTTTTTTATTTGCCTCATTATTCTTTTATAGTTTACAGTGCTAATTATCATTTTTCCTCAGTTAATGTAACACATGCCCTTTTGTTTTATGACATCTTCACATAAATGCATTTATGTTAATAATAATTTCTACAAAATATTCGCTCTGAGCTGAGCATTCGAGGTCTGTAATTGCAGAGTTCCTCATGTTCCCGACCTGCTTCTAGGGGGAAATTGGACGGCAGCGTTACTGTTACACACAGCCTAAGAATTAGGCGGCGGTCACGTTATTTTCATTGTCCTGCTTAGTCGAGGTGCCTTAGATGCTGTTCCACATCACTCTGATGTAGGTACTGCGACTGCAGCAAGACGGGAGCGAACCTCTGAGTTTAGCAGCCCATTTACTCGCGACCTCCGGGAATTCACCTTGCGGTTTTATATCAGTTCTGGTGCTGGGAGGCAGGTGTTTAACCGGCAGCGATTCCGCCGCTGCTCATGGACCGCTGCTTCATCCTCACACGCCCGCAGTCGCTCTGCTGTTCAGTTAACCGTAGAACGATTGATTCATTAAAAGACGGACGGCAAATTTAAAGGTCCCGGTGGACTAAATCAAACAACTTCACCCCCAGTGCCTTCGGTGATGGGAGCCGATTGCAGAGCCAGGGTCTGGAGTTATTGGTGTCCCAGCCAACTGGGAACGGAGCTGTGCTTCACAAGACGTTACTGTGGATAATTTCTCTTCTGCACCATTGGCTTTTTATTACCTTATCCCCAGGTCACCGTATACCCTAATGGCTTTACAAATGTCCTCCTTTCAATGTTAATGACTGTCAGGATCATTCGCTGCTTGATTGACCAAATATTCCTTTGAATATTTCTAACCAAGAAATACTTTTAAGTTCTTTTTTTGAATAATAAGGACAAGAACTAGCTCAAATAAAGCCAGCAGGCATGTTCTACACAACACAGGCACTGATTTAGGCACCTATGGGGTCCTCTGGAACATGACATCATCCTCATTCTTTTTTTGATTTTGTCAGGATGCTTTCTTATGAAGATGTCTCAACTGGGTAGCAGGCGATAAATAAAACACAGTTCTGTAGGAACCCCTGAATGCACCGACTGAAAAATAGATCATCTGTTTTCCAAGAGAAGAAGAATGTATTACTAAAAATAAAGCATATGAACATAATCATTTGAAGTAAACTGATTGGACAATTACCTCAGAATGCAGAGCAGGGATATTGTAAAGCACTTTGAGACAATGTAATGTTCTGAAAATGTGCTATACAAATAAAATTGAATTGAATCGATTAGAGAACCAAGGAACATGGCTGCATGCAAAAGGTGAAGGAATGGGTTGGTCCTCAACAGATCTCGAAGCTCAGGGACTCGAAATGACTTGTGTGCCTGAGAAGCCAGGAATAAACCTGAAGAGGTACGTAGCTGCGCCGCCGGACACATAGACCGGGCCTTACAACTCCATTACTTCCGTACAAAAACACACTTAACGTCAGTGGCTGAGAGGCATCACAGATGAACGTGAGGGGATTTTAAAGTGCCGGCGGAGGTAGATGGAAGAAATTCAACATGTCCTTGAGTCAGGAGCGCTTGAGCATGGAGGCAAGGTGTTTAACAGGGAGATTCTGTGGAATTTGAAGCAATGTGCCCAGAGGGTATGTGGACACTGTGAAGGTCAGGCCCTTGGGGGAGCTTTCTGTGCGGCATATGCCAACACGGCTGGACGGGGGTCACATGCACGCCAGAACCGACCGACCTCCGTCACCGTGCTGAAGGCTGAATCCAGGACAGGCACAGCGGAAAGGCTTTCCGTCTCTCAGACCGCAGCGGCACCGGCGGACAAACCGAGGTCCCAAAAGTGAAATATCTCTGCTTAACCGAAAGAACGAAACCTAGGATCTGCTCCTTCTGAAACAAGCCAAACACCTATAAATCAGTCGGAGGTATTCGCAAAGGAATTTTAATAACGCCATACTCAAATAAAAATTAAACTTCAGCGATTAAAGATAAAGACATCCCTTCATCCATCCAGCCGCCACAGCAAGTATTAAAGTGTGTGACGATGGACCGTTCTTCCTTGGGTAGCTATAATGTTCATCATCACGGTGCCTTGGAGGAGGGTAAGACACCTCAGGCGTGACTAACTTAGGTCACCAGTGTACGTGTGGGCCGGCGTTCACGGCTGATAGGGTTCAGATGGCCTCGCTCAGGGAACACAAGTGACCTTTTCAATCCGGGAAGGTCAATGCTGGCCAAAAACCTGAGGGGGGTCCTGTCTGCTGACCGAGACTTGAATCTGAAGAGTGCGTTGCTTCTTTCATTTGCCCAATTCAGTCCTTTATTACATTACTAGTCCTTTCAGGTGCACAGTTAAAGATAGCGGCTAAGTCAATTTAAAACAATGCACTGTTGGATTCTCAAATCTGATTGGCCAGGAAGCCGCTGTTTCATTTTCTATAAGCGCACATGTAGTGCCAGTCAGGAGAATCACAGCGATAAATCTATGCACTATTATAATCTTTAATTCTAACGTTACTTAAAATTCCAGAAGTACAACGCAATTTAAAAGTGACGGACAATAAACAGAAACATTTAACCAAGGGCAGAAGCAAGTTGTTCTGCTAATAAATGCGTTTCCAACTTGTACATGTGAAAATAATCTTTAGGTACTAGCATGCAAGTTAAATGTGTGGTGACCGTGGTGTAAGTGGGTTGATGCACTGTGCATTCTGTTATTTAATGTACTCCGCATGTGATGCTGCATGTCGCATGGTTCTGTGCCTTGAGCAGCCATGCAGTTAAAAACATATAAAGCGCAGCTTCTTCTGCATTAACCCTCACTAATTAAACAGATTAAAGAAATTGAGTCCTGGATATGGTTAGAAAGCTTTACAGCTCTTTCATTCCTGATGATGGAAAAGGAAAAAACAAATTTCACATGTAATTTTTAATATTAAATTCACCTTCTTCCATCTCCAAAGTCCTTATGTTACTGGTTCTACAGGCATAGTTACCGTAGTTTTAAAAACAAACCAGCTTTAATTTCCTCTCGTTAAAAAGTCATCCTGAAACATTCATAGCGGAAATGACTAATACTGCATGACTCGCATGAATCACGCTCAGCTGAGAGGGGAGACCTGGTCCGAAACTCGCTTTTCAGTTTGGGTAACGGGTCACACAGGCAGCTCCAAATGCACTCCCACCTCATCCACATATTGGTCTGTGGCTCAGCGAGTTAGGACAGTCAGAAGGTTGTTGGTTCGAATCCCAAGGTCGCCAGGGTGATTTCACCATTGGTCCCCTGAGCAAGGTTCTTAACCCCCAAAGGACTATCTAACCCAGCTTTCTTAAATCTGTATACTGCTTTCGATAAAAGTGTCATCTAAATAAAAAACGAAATCCCCTGCGACCCACTTGGACAAAGGCTGTGGTGAACAAGAACTCTAGGAATCTGTTGTAAAAGATTACACTGAATTGTTTTAATCCCCAAATAGTGAACTCGCAATCCCGCTGCACCAAACAACGGAGAATAAAGCGGCATTCAAACGTTCCGCCCGCAAGAAAACCCGCCATGGCGCAATCGCTGCACCTCGTCGGCAGCAGATGGAAAGCAACTTGAGGTGACATCCTGCATTAGCGTCCGAGGGCCGCGGTTTCTATATAAAGAGCGACCGTAGGGGATCCGGGCGGGAAGGCAGCACCCCTCAGGCGAGCCGGCCTCCCACCCAATGCGCGTCCAATACGTGCGCATCATGCTTCCAGAAAAATCTGCAGGAACCCCGACCTTCTGTCCAGGTGTTTTGTTCCTTTTATTGGCAGTTAGAAAATAGGACAGCATGTTATTTATAAAGTTACATTAAATGTACAGCGTTGGGTGGGAACAGAGCATAAACAAGAAAACTGATGGATTGGATGAATTGAAGAGCAAATTTACAAAAGTCATCCAGTCAAATTTAATAAAAGATCTTCATTGGATTACATGACGACTGAGTTAGCTTTGGTTCCCTGTACTGTAACATATGATGAGGAAGCCTGACTTTAGGTCACGGGAGATCTCACCTCAGACACAACCAAAAAATGACCTGAGTGAGTTTTGGAAACTTGGTTTCAGGAACCGCGCTCCACGTCTTAGTCCAGCAGAGTCGCTTGGCATATCGGGTTCGAAGGATGTTTCCAGGATCAGCTTTGAGCATCGAGAGCCTGACTTCAGCGCAGAACGGAACGCTGGCGTTGTGACTTCAGCCAAACTGGGATTCCTTAAGCTCCTCAACTGCGGCTCTCAGCAGCAAACGGAAACTCCTCTTAATTCCAGTGTGACTGGCTGTCCGGAATAAACCAAGAACCGCCGCAGTGTCTGCATTTACGGTTTACAGCAAATATGTGGGTACAGAATCTATTTTTGCTGGAAATATAAAATTTATAAAATCATAATGGATCTTCCGGGACAATACAGAGGAACTACGACAAGTTAAAATATTTAATGCTAAAGCAGCTAAAATGAGGAATAAATATAAATACCATTTAGAAAAATTAATCTACCTAAATAAAATATAAAATATACAAAAAGCTTTGTACAAAAAAAACGCTTCTAGCCTATTCACCCTGTCTGGTTTCAATAATCAGATTCCCAACGGACTTTCTAACCCTAACTAACCCACGCTCACCTGTACAGCTATACGGACTATTTACAGATTATTCAACATAAATACTGCTTCGTCGCAGCTATTGCAGGAAAGGACTCGCAACGTCCATCTTTTAGTCAGGCGTCTTTTTTGCAGGAGGTTCCGGGCCCTATGAATGGTGCCTCCGGTTCCGGCTTTTCTTCATCTCCCGCAGGAGCTTCCACTTGCCGGGAGCGGGGGGCCGGGCCTTCTGGGCGTGTTTGCGCTCGCGGAGCCACACGCTCTCGCAGTACTGGTCCACGCTGCTCTGCGGGCCGCTCATCAGCCGCAGGTAGTCCTTGTAGCGTTGACGGGCCCCGGCCGCGGCTGTGGCCACGTCGTCCCGCTGGGTGGCCGGCCGCGGCTCCATCTGGCCCTGCTCGATGACCCGGAGGCCGAGCCGCAGCACGATCCGACTGAAGCTGTGCTCCTGCGCCATGCAGTGGTATGTGCCGGCGTCCTGCCGCTGAAGCGAGCGGATAAGCAAGCCCAGCTCGGTCCTCATCACCCGCTCGTCCAGCTTCACCTGTAGGGAGGTGAGGGGTGGGGAGGACAGACCCCGGTGACGTTAGGTAGCAACTCGAAGACGGACCGATCATGCCAGACTGTCCAGGGCGGGTAGCTACCTAGGAGTATTGCACAAAGCAGGCTTTCTTTATTAGCCAGATTAGCCCAATGTAAGGCTTATCCAACGGTATTGCCACTTACCTCTCTTTCTATTGGACAGTTTTCACATTTGGCTTAAGTTATCCAACTAACTGGGAAATCCTGCTTTGTGAGATACCGCCCTGGGAGCTCTGCAGCACCTGCCGAAGGGCCAATCAGCATGATTTTCATAATTACTCAGCCAATCACTTGACTGTATTCATAATTTAGGACAACTGACCAAGGCCTATGAAAGGGGGCATACAGGAAGTTCAGACTGTGCATACAGGAAGTTTACCCTGGTACATCATGAGGTCCTGCCCCCACTGGTATCTGGCTTTCTGAGCTGCAGAGCCAACACCCGCCAGTCTACAGCCACGACCACAGGAAACGGAAACAGATCCTGCTAACGGACGTGACGGTGCAGCTCGGTGTCACCCGTGACCTGCTAACGGAGTTTTATGCCTCATGGGGTGTCAGAGGCTAAAATAATACAGCTGCAAGTGGGCAGCATGGGGCGGGGGGGGGGGGGGGGACACTTCAAAGCATACCTCAGAATCAAAGGTGGTTTCTGAAAGGCGTGAACATAAGTGAGAATCGGGGAGGGGGGCGGAGTTTAAAGGCAACTCAACTGCATCCCTTCTCCCACGTTAAGTAAACATAATGCCCAGCCACCCCCCACCCCCCACCATGTGGAAAAGGGCTGACTCATTCACCGGCCCGTGCAAATGAGTGACCTGAGAATTTTACCAGAAGAGTAGTTTTGACGTGCTGGATAAAGGTCACTCCTCAAATCCAGAACATGGCAATGTAATCAACCGGTTTACACCTGTTAGCATAACAGTCTGCACAGGGAACAGACTGTGGGAAGGACATCCATGTTGCTTGCAGAATAAAGTGTCACCGGCCTGTTCCTGGCTCTTGGGCAGGCGTATTTGTGAAATTCCTGCCACGGGGACGTGACGGCAAGAGACGGGGAAAACTAAGCGTGCAGATCCGAACACTCTGCTCCATAGAAGTGAGGATCCGCTGACCAGCGTGACGGATATGAGGCACGTGAGACTGACATTGAGGAACATGTAAAACACAGAGTCTGACTGGCCTGAAACACAAGGAGGTCACACACTTTGAGGAGGGCTACACCATAGCGCCACACAGAGGTCACACATGGTGCTGGGATAATCCATAAATCTCTTAAATGCATTACAGCTCAATAAAAATGTACCTTAAGTCCAGCGGGTCAAACGATTCACATGCCATTTGTGGCAAGATGGTCCTAATTAGCAGCAATATGCTCACCCCCCTAACCCACCCCCTCGGAGACAGAGTGACCAACCCTGCTGTCCCCAGATTCTTTCTGCTGCTCTGGGATGGTCCTAGACCAACTACATGTTAAAAGCAAACAGCCCTGCGAAAAGAAAACTCCCCAGGGCCAAAAAACCTGCGCACTGACGCATAAACCTAAAAAGAATAGGGATAATGATGTGGGGGGGGGGGGGGGGGGGGTGTCGGGCAGGACACCAAGTGCGGTGCCGACACTGGGAATGTCACCTTCAGACCACGGCCACACAGTCACTGGAAGTACATTGCTGTGATTCCATCAACAGGACAACCCCGTTGACCGTCTGGGTTGTGGAAAAATGTCCGGCTTCCCCTCATGAGCCGCTGGGGAGGGGGGGGGGCGGGGGCCAGACAGGCTGGGAGACACACGCCAGTGTTGCCTGGATCCTTTGTTTTCCTGTCTACGCTTCGCCTCTCATCCCTGCACCTCTGAAGCTCAGCACAGAGACGCACTCACTTCAGATCAGTCACGATAAACACTTCCTCTGGCACAAGCTACGCCCATATATATATAGTGGGGGGCGGGGGGGAGCGACGCAGAGCTCCCTGAAAAGGCTACAGGTGTGCAGACCGGCTGTACAAGAGCAGGAGGCTGTGGGAACGACTGGCAGCAATTTTCATCAAGACAGGCAAACAGGGAGAGAGAGAAACAGGGAGAGCAAGAAACAGAGAGACAGAGAGCGAGAAACAAAGAGATAAACAGAGAGAAGAGAAAGAAGCAGGGAGAAAGAGACAGGGAAAGCGAGAAACAGAGAGATAGAGACAGGGAAAGAGAGAAACAGAGAGATAGAGACAGGGAAAGCGAGAAACAGAGAGATAGAGACAGGGAAAGCGAGAAACAGAGAGCTAGAGACAGGGAAAGAGAGAAACAGAGAGATAGAGACCTTTTCCCAGCTTTTATTAATCCAGACCCCCAATGCAGTCGGTAAGACGGGTCGACACCACAACACCAAACAAAAGAAGTAAACAAGCAAGCAACCGGAAAAAAAAACACGGAGATAGAGAGAGAGACAGGGAGAGTAAAAAACAGATAGAGAGAGACAGGGAGAGTGAGAAACAGAGAGATAGAGAGACAAGGAGAGCATGAAACAGAAAGATAGAGAGCAAGAGACAGGGAGAGTGAGAAACAGAGGGACAAAAAGAGACACAGAGAAAAAGAGAGAGGGACTGAAAGACAGGTCACAAGACAGAAAAAAAGACACAGAGGCAGACAGTGAGAGAGAGAGAGAGAGAGTGATGGAGACAAAGAGAGAGACAGAGGTGCTGATATATAAAAGACATGTAGTGAGCATGGCACCCTCCCTTGCAACAAAAGCCCTTTTCTGGAATTGGATCGGAATGCCCAAGTGGGCAGGATGGCATGGAAACCGGCAGGCACACGGAGCGGAGGGCAGTCAACGTCGCACTAAATCAAAACGCCGCGCCCCAGACCGCCCCTGGTCCCGAGCGTGCTGGCGCGCCGCTATTAATTAACGCCACGATCGATAACGAGGACAGAGAGCCGGACGCGGAGGAAGCCGTTAAACAGGCCAGCTATTAATCAGCGGAGACGGCTGGGGCGAGAGCAAGATGGCTGCCTCGCCGCGCGCCACAGCTGGGGGGGGGGGGGGGAGATTTATCACACTGCAGGAAGCGGCGCTGCTGCGGTAGCGGAGGGTCTTTGTGAAAGACGTCCTTCGCAGGGAAGCGCTGCTGCGGCAGGGAGACGGACAGGAACGGCGGCGAGCGCGTCAGGCTGGCAAGCTTCCCGCTGTCGGCACGCCATCAAGAACAACGCCGGACAGACGCCTCGCTCCAAACCGAGAGCCGAAAAGATAACTCTGCTCAGATTTCTGAAAATCCAAGCAGCCAAAAATCGTAGTTATTTGGGTGGTTGTGGTCAGTACTGTTTCATTAAAAAAAAAAACCTGGTTAGTTCTGTTCTCTTTTAATTGCACCTTTCTAAAATCCTAAGTAGTTCATAAAAGCAGAAAAACATTTCTGTGAGGTCTGCATTCTGGCCATCAGAACCTCTGCTCTGCGAAGCGGGGGAGGGCAAAAACAGTACAGGGTCGTGGCTCATCTCAGCCATCACAGTTTATTACCTTTGCTGTTTGTATGGTTCTCTCCCAACACGAGATTCGGCGGTAAACATGATCGCACGGTGGCGTGGAGCCAGGACAGCAGAGCATAATGCCATTTGCAAAATAACACAACAAACAGGTGGCTGCAGCTCTAGATGATGAAATTTTATTCAGTTGTAACTTCTGTATCTAGCAGACACTATTATCCAAAGCCATGTACAGTTGGAGCATAGCCTTTCATGTCAGATGGCCAGAGTTTTTGCTCACCATGGTCGTCTAGGGCTCGTATAGGGGATTTAGCTTACACCTTCATCGGTGACAACGTACATATTTGAAAAGGCAGGGTCACACAGTGCCTGGAGTAACTGGGAGTTAAGGACCTTGCTGAAGGACCCAACAGTAACATCATTCTGTCGACCCTGGGATTTAAACCAACAACCCTCTGATCACAGGTACTGCCATCCTAACCTCCTAACCTACTGAGTCACACATCATTCCTCTTATTCACCCCTGCTGGAACTGCCCTTCATCCTCTGGACGCACTTCCTCCAGTTAACACAACGTCACATGGAACAAACATCCCGGTGTCTGGCTGCTGGGATTGGATCAGGATTACTGCGACCCTGAAGGGCGGGGGGGGGGGGGAGCATTCTGTAATTTCACTACATGGTTATGGGCTTGCACGCTCTCTACTGAAATACATGTAAACCAAACAGACGTCCAGTTGTTGAGATGGAGTTCTAGCTCACTCCCCTGGCTGACCCCCCGGCCAAATTGGGTCGAACCCTTGCCACGCACAGCATTCCATATTAGTGTGAGATCTGATTGTGGCAGGTTGTGCACAGAATCTGCCTCCCTCTCATTCCTCAAACCGCTTCCCAATGTGGATGATCTTTCTTTAAGCTCAAAAATCCGCCATATTTCAAGTCCCGGGAACATAGTAACTATCAAAGTCCAAGGCACCGTGACTCTCAATCACTTAAATCCACCGAGAGTGACAGCTGGCTGACCGGCTGCGGTAGACTGGGGTAGCTGGGAGGCAGAGGGCCTGACTACTTAAACTTCTGTCCTGGCCTTGCTGTCGTAAACATGTCCACATATTTTTAATATTACAGAAAACCTACAACCAGGACTAGGGGAGGGGGGCTGGGGGGGGGGGGTGCTGAGCCAGTGAGTGGGGATTAAACTATTCTTGCTGCGTCTGATTGCAGGTACATTCTTCTGAGGCTCCAACATCATCCACAGCAGGCTGTATGCGAGATGCTTCTACACACAACCCAAACCACCTAAGTCTCAATAATCTCTGCAGCACCTACCTAACAAGCCAAGTGCTCGGACCACGCACATCGGTGAGCCAATCAGCAACAGCCACACACTTTGATGGCGAACATGGAGATAATGAGTCTACAGCAACTCTGTTACTCGGTAATCAAATCTTCAAACTGTTAAAAACACAGAAGAATCGATGATCATGGATGAACAGGGGTTCTCAGACCAAGCTGGGACTGCTAACAAATTCAATACTGAAAGAGTATGCTAAATCAGCTTAACTGGGAACAGTTTCTTTAGCAGAGAGTCTATCAGCTTGAATAGTATGAAAAACACCACAGATCAGCAGGAGCTGGGTTGGAGATCCCTGACGTAAACTACTAGTCCGGTCATCACTCTGGCTGCCAGTAAGCAGCAGGTGAGACTCTGCGGCCTGTCAGTCATCACCGAGAGTGAACGACTCTGTCACTGAGACGGGTCCCGCGGGCCAGACTGCACCTTACCTCCTCCCGGTGGTCAGAACCGGTCCTCTGCAGGAACCAGCGGATCTGGGCCTGCTGAGACTTGGGGACGCACTCCAGGAAGGTGGAGTTGTGCTCCACCCCGAACAGCAGCTTCTCCTCAGACTCCATCACCATGGCTACACCGGGGGGGGAAGTTTCACAATAAATCATAACAGACCAACCGCTGCAGTCTGGGCGAGCACACAAAGGGCAGATGAAATGTTTATTCAAACACTTTCTCTCTGCCGATGCCCCCCCCCCACTGACAGTAACGTTTTCCCCCATAATGCAGCCAATGTTTGATTCTCTTCTTGGCGGCCGTCCCAAGCCGGCAGTGCACTCACCATCGTCCAGGTCCCAGCACTGGCTTGACGGATCTCCGTTCTTGATATCCTGCCTCCGGGCTCGCCTGTGAAGTCAGATCCATCCCCGATTAGGGGCCTCGTTCGGACACACAGGGGGGGCGAGGCAAGAGGCTGAGTGACCTGAGAGTTCGTGCCCTTATAGGGGGGGTCACTATCCCGTCAGGGCTCCTTGATCCCAAATTACCACCCCCCCCAAAACACACATTTATCTTTACAGTCTAACAGCTACACGTGAATACACAGGAGGCCTACAGACCCACAAAACCACACCCCCCCCCATCCAAAATATCAAGGCTACCCTTGTTTGCTTCCTTTGTCCCCACCTCCCACGTTTCTCAGATCAGTTTTCAAAGATTAAAAAAAAAAATCCCGAAACCCAGCCGTGCGATGACCCCCCCAGGGAAGAGAGTACTGCATGTTTCTTGACAAGGAGCCAAGGCATGCCCCGTGCTGCCCACCACTGGGGGGGGGGGGGGATGTGTACTGCAGCACAACGAAAACAACAGCGATGGCCAACATTAATCATCGGGCTGTGATCCCTCCCCCCAGCCCAAAAGATACAGCAAAAAGGATGGAAATGAAATAAAAACTCACGCCCCTCCCGGCCTCTAATTCCCACTACGACCTTGAGAACAAACAGCTAGGGGGCGGAGCCACCTGAGACCTCCCGAAGCACATCGTTAATCGCGCCCCATAACGAGCGGCCACCTGTGCGTGCCTTCGAGATGAGAGCGCCTGAACCCACGACCCGCCCGAAAACCTAGGACCGCCACATCGGGACCTATGCCCGGCTCCTCCTCTGCCTGACGTACCTCTTAGAGGCCGGGATGTAGCGGGAGCAGGAGTGGCCGTCCCAGGCGCAGTAGGGGTCTCGAGCCAGGCAGCACTCGGCGCAGCCCTGCCCGTAGAGGGCGCATCGGTGCAGGGACACCTGGGCAAGGCCATCTTGGGAGCCGATGTACAGCTGTTGCTATGGAAAAACACAATAATAATGAACAAGGCAGATCAGAACAGAGCTACATGGTGTTCTTACACAGTGTTAATACACAGTGTTATTTTACCAGGCTCTCAGACGCTATTTTCAAAAGACCTCAATATATGAACACAATAAACATGAAACATGAATACTGGCTCTGAAAAATAACATAATAACATTATTGGGGACAATTTTGCAACCTTCGTAGCAGTGGCGATACTAGTCTCTGAACGTGTTTATCTGGAATATCGTTTCCCCCGTCACCGTGACGACAAGGCGGCACTGACGTCGTGACGCGGCACAGACTGGAAAGTCTCATGCTTTTCCTGTGTTTCTGGCCACGTGGCTGCATATAAACAGACGCGGTCCCGTGCCATCGGGGCCAGGGGAGGGCATGACGAGGCACAGCAGCCGTTCCGCCAACTGATCCACGCGTCACACCTAAACCGGACGTGGCAGCCGATTTATGCAAGACTCCCTGCGGTGTTGGCTCTCGGGGGGAGACGCTTGGAATAAACGCGCTTGAGGAAGGAATTATCAGCCTCTTTGATGCCAGGATGGTCACGGCTGAGATGGTATGGTGCAAAAACAGCCGAAATGCAAACGGGGGCTCCGGCACAGCAACTACGCTGGGGGGCACTGTGGGGGCATGTCCTTCTGACCCTTCAGTGAACCTGGTAAGATGATAAAATGCAGTGTGGGGGGGGGGAGGTTGCTCAGTGGACAGGGAAGAGGGGTCTGGTGCCATCAACCCCTCCCCAACACAAACACCCACCCAGAGAGCCTTTTCCATGGGCCTAACAGCCCCTCCCGACAGCCGTTCATCTCGAGTGCCAGGGAGACACTCCGACGGGCTGTCGGCACGGTAACGAGGAGGATGGGGGAGCTGGGGGGCCGTTTACATGCCCCGAGCAGGGTGTCACTTCACAGCATGCGGCCCAGCGACACCGTCCTGCTGAGGGATTTTATTCAATGACTAGCGGAGGGTGTTAGAGATCATCATTACCCTACAGATCGTGAACAAAGGTGCACGTGGATGTTCTTACTTTTTTGGAGGAGATTTCCATACTCAGAATCGGCGACGGGACCTGAAAAAGACAAACAATGTTAAAGAAAAAAATACATGGTGCACGTTAAGGTATCCATGACTGGTGCAAAGGGCACGTTTTTCTTCGTAGCTCTTTAACCAATCAAACGACTTGTTTTAAAATGGCCCCCACTGCCTTCGTTTTATCTCATTTCGCCTTAATTCAATTGTGACTTTCTGTGTGCTCGTGCAGCTGAAATCTAAATGGCGCTGTGGTTTTACAGGCTCTGTTTATTCTGGCTAAATGCGATCCAGATGAAAGAGCAGATAAGAGACAGGCAGAGTGTTCGGCGGGTGAGAGGGGAGGGGGGCAGAATTAGGAACACCTGCCACTCAGAATCCTCCTCTCCTGGAAAACGTCCCTCCCCGCCGCCGTCTGTGCGCCCACGTGGGGCGTCGATTGGTCCCGGACCCCCCCCCACCCGAGGCAGATGACGGGCAGCGAGCAGATCAGCATTTAAGGAACACGCCTGCAATCTACAATCTATCCATTCAAGGAAGTAAAGCGTAAACCAATTTGATGCGTCAGTTGGCGGGAGCGGTCCGCCGGGTTAATTAACAATTTAAATGTCGAGAAACACCAGACAATTCAAAAGCTGCCTTTTTTTTTATTTAATCTGTGCTGCTACATCCCTGAAAGTGAAGAAGCGTACGCTGCCGATCTGGGAAAATACCCAGCCTTGACCGTAAACAAAGCACTCGGCATCAGACCCCGCGACGCCTCAAACGGTAACTGCCTGCTTCCTGCTGTTGGTGAAGTTTCCTCCTCACCTGGAACACCTGGAGCTCCTCCAGCAGCACCTCCTCCGTGACCCAGTCCTCCTGTGTGATGGTCACCACCTTCAGGACTGTCCCCACGTCTGATAAGAACCACACAGGCATTAACTCACGTGGTTCCCCCACCTTAATCCAGTGTGGCTTAACTCTGTGCTGATTGCAATTTGTTAGGGATGAGGGAGATGACTGATTTATAAATCACTGCTTTGTAAACCATAACACATGGCCTTGCCTCAAATTCTGTTGGTGCATCTTGGTGGCAGTGACCAATCTGACCAACAACATAATCCTAATGAAAACATTTGTATAGAATAAATTCTTCTATGGTGCCAAATAACAACAAATTATTGGAACTGCATAAACCAAACTTCAGTTTAATTAATGGATTAAACAGGAAGAACACGTAAAAGAAAGCGGACAATGTCATTAGCGAGAACAAGACACACTGCTTTTAAAACGAATAACACCATCATTTATGGACAACAGCGCCATCTGCTGCTGAAATGGAGAAGGTGCAACACTTACAAAGTTAATCATTCGAAACATTAAATACGAAGCAACTAAAATATAATTTTCTAGTTACTTCCAAATATATGATTACATAGAAATAATAACCATCCCAAAAATCAAGTGATATTACTAATAATGTACAATTCTTGTTTTAAAAGTTTTAAATTAAAGATTTCATAAATAACAGTCAATCTGCAATCAGTTTTAATCTTAGTCTGCATGTAACATATGATTCATATGTACTAAGTTGTTCCTAAAGTTTGCCAGTACCTCAGTTAGTATTATGGCTAAAATACGCCGACAAAAACCGTACCCGTTCCCAGGAACATGACCGCATACTGGCCGTCCTCAGCCGCCACCTGGTCCACGACGATCTGCGTGAGCCGGTAATCGGCGTTGATCCTGGTAAAGACCGGTCTCCCGGTGACGGGGTACACAGCCTTGTACATCATGGGATGGTACTTTATGAAGCTGATCACATCGTCCGGGAAGTCCTTAGTTGTTTTTATTCGAGGATCGTACGTCCTACTTGGACACTGTGAAATAACATTAATAAACGACGGGGATCATGAATCAGGGAAAGAAAAGGTGATTTTATTAAAAGTAAAAGATAAACTATTTGTTTATAATACAATCAAATATACACTTTCAGTTGCTTTACTGAAATTAAATATTTTCACTGTACTTTGAATAATGTACTTGGCACAAAGTCCTTATTTCCAGGCCTCTAAAAAGGAGATGTCTCCCCCTAGTGGATATGCGCGATATACTGCAACGTAAACATGTGTTCCACAGACTCTCCAACGCTACCTGTAAAAATAAGCAATCCTGATGGGAAAGGCTATAGGCTGATTATTTATACTGAAAGTATTTATATGATCTGATCTGATGTTCTTTTTCCCTTTGATACAAAGGACTCATAGGGATTTCAGAAAAGCAGCTGGGTATTTCTAACATTCTTGAGAATTATTTTTTTGGATAAATAAGATCCATTTATCTCCGCTGCTACAGAGTGAAAATATACTAAGTACAGTGTATGTTTTGTTGAAAAACTGTCAATTAAATGTATGGCCTAGTTATTTTAAAGTACCTAAAAGGCATTATGCAAGCATGTGACAACATACATACTGTATTTGTGACCCAGATGTTATCTTAATAGTAACAGCTGTATATGCTGGTGTGTTATAATTGTGCATGACTCCTTATACCAAACAATAGTTAGAACACAATTTCTTGAAATCGAAATACACAAATACAGAAGGAGTGCCCTGCTGGTTCCAATCGAATGGTTTAGCATCAAACAAGCATTTTTGTCACTCTTAAGCTCTGATGAGGGTTGTTGCTTGCAGGAGCTGTAATACACTTATTTTATTTCCAATGTGGTTATTTCCATTGACCTTTATCCCACAGTCAGGAACCTGCGGTATTCAAACCGGATTTTTCAGGATGAAATCTGTGGGAGTATGGAATGCTGCTATGGAAAATAGATCCGGACATATTTATGAAACCCTGACCCCACTGTTTTGACACTCTGCTCCACTTAAACAAGCATCTACTTGACAGTACTGCCTTACAGAGAACAAAGCACTCAGTGCTCAATCGGAGCTGTGTTAATGCAGGTGCAGTTTACGCTTACAGTGCCAGGCCTTGGGTATGGGATCCGCCCCTCGTACTCCACCCAGCGGTGGTCCGGTCCTTCTTTGTGGGCGTACGGCCCGTTGAATACGGCCCGGATGTCAGCCATGCTGTACACGCAGACTGCTGAACCCTTGAAAATGGAGCTGGACACACACAAACAGCGAAATCACAAATACGATGCAGGATTCCCACACTTACACTTACAATTACAATTACACTTACGATAATCTGGCATAGTGGATGTTCCACAAAGCAGGATTTCTCAGTTAGCTGGGTTAACTTAAGCTAGAAGTCATGGATGTCTAACAGGAATGCTGCTTACCTAAACTGTTATTGGATGATCATGACTTCTGGCTTAAGTTAACCCAGCTAACTGACCAGTCCTTCTTCGTGGAACACCCCCTTGTCCTTATGTTTTGATTTGACTAGCTTTTCTGATATTGGGTTCTAACAATGTTTGTATAGCTCTAGCTTCCAGTGCTACCAGTCCCTCACTGGAAGCTCAGCTTAGTAGCACTCGTAAGTTACCTTGTAGTGGTGAAGACTCCATATATAACAGGGTTCCTCTCATCTCTTGTGGAGAGGAAAAAGACATCCTCTGAAAAAGAAAGCCAAAGGTTGTTAATTCGCACTCAGCAGTAAATGTCATGTAGACCTCAGGGTTCAACGGAGAGGATGACTTACGCAGCTCGTTGAAGTGTGTGTCTACTCCATCTGGCCCTGGGATGGAGCACACCAGCCTGGCTTTGAGGAATGTGGTCCACTTGTTAGGCAGGCTCCTCAAACCTCCCACATCATTCTAAAGTCCGAGGGAGGAAGAGATGGGAGGGGATGGTTGGCATTTTTAACGAAACTCACCGGGACATATACAGATCTGCACTAAAAACACCACTAATTTGATGGGCTAATTAAATGAGAATGGAGAATAGTTTCCCCTAATTTGCTTTCAAAGAGGCTGGACCTACTCAAGCCATTAAAGAGAACAGGGGGATTCAACATGAGACAACCCCATCAATTACTAACTATATCAGATTTGCATGTCTATGCTTCTAGAGGGGCCTACGGAGAAAAAAAACCAACAAAGGATGAACTTTCTTAGAGGGACAGTGAGCATCGTCAAGCGGATTATCCAAATGTGCTTCTGAGGAACCTTAACAAATGCCTGGCGAGTTTCTGCCTTGCCCACTAACCGGAAGGTAAAAGCTAGGACATAATTTTGGAATGCCTGGCAAGCAGGAGACATGCAAAATAATCTCAGGGCTTATGAGACTTATTTTCAGTGCTTTCATCTTCAAAAGACGATAAAATCAGTGTTACACCAGTTAGCCTTAAAGGACACCAGCCACTGCTGCTATTTCAGGTTTTAGCTCCAAAAGTAATTGTGCGCTTTTCTTTGCTTAAAAGAGAAGTGTGTGTGTTTGTGTGTGCGTGCGCCCATATGTGTATTAAAAGTAATATACTTTTTTTTTCTGTAAAAAATACCTGATCAATAAAACAGTGATAATAATAAGTATTTAAAACTCTGAGTTAATTCAAAATATATTGTATTTTGCAAATAAATTTGTTTAAAGATCAGATAAATGGATCAAGATCCATTTTTAAACAATGATTTACCATCAGCGACTAGAACATATCAATATTTTTTTATTTGAATATTTTTTTACAAATTACTACGAGATGATGCTTTTCGTCCACTGTAGCCATATTGCCATACCGTAGTCCGTTGTGTTAGTGCAGCGTGCGCGCCAGGCCGCACGGTGGCTGTGTTTCACTAACTCCCCGCTCCCTCATACTGGCTCATTGGGTCACTGGCTCTGTGGTTCTACCGATTAATTGAAAAGAGCCGGTTCGAAAGAACCTCCTCCTTCACGAATCGGGCGTCGCTGCTGAGTAGCCCGGTAATCCGCGTGGTTTCAAGTGGTTACGCGGCTGGATTCGTGAGACTCATAAGACACGAAACAAACCGAGTGACCGATTCTGATTCCTCCGAAAGTCTATTCGAGAGTTAAAACAACCGGTTAGTAAATGCGCCGATACCAAAAGCCCACAATATACCATAATTAAGCCTTAATTAGGCTACGTATTCTGCATATTAATAAACGAAAGATATATATGGTTGTGGCTTTAGCATTATTACCTTCTAATTAAATCACTTTTATACCAAACGTTTGGAAATTTCTTAAGGTAAGTCAGATCATTTTATCAGGCTTTTGGAGGCTGGCTGTTCAATAATGTAAGAATAAAAATTAAAGCCTGCGTATGCGATTGTGTTTCATAAGAACATAAGAATATTTTCATAGTAATTAGACCTGGGATGTGGTGTTGATAAGCATTCACTAGACTATGAGAGTCATAAAAATAAGTACAGTTTCAATTAAAATAACAAAATGCAGCAGCAACTAGCCCCGCCCCCAACTGATTATTTGAATCGACTCATTTAAAAGAACAGTCAAATAGAATCGTTTGTGTAAATTGACCCGAACTTCCCTTCACTAACAAAAGCGAAAATGTATTGGGTCTGCTTGAATTAGATAATAAAAATAATGCGAAAGGAAGCACCAGCTCCCAAAAGTGCGTTTAATATTTCTTATCCAATGCAAAACTGCATTTGCCATTTAATGTAGTACTGTAATGTAGCACTGCCATGTGACGTAGGAGGCACAGGTCCCAAACCCCCCAGCCCCTCCCCTTACCTGACACACTCGCGCCACTCGTGACAGCACGCTCTTATCGCCCGAGCTCCCTTCGCGGGACGCCTCGCGGAAGAAGAAGTAGATCTTATCGTCGTCTGGGTTGTAGGTGTCGGAGGCAGGATGGGCGGCCACAAAGCGGCCCTCTGGCGCAAGAAGAGAAAGACGCCCGCGTTTCACCTTAAATATGCCGCTTAAAATCCTCCAGTCAGAATAGGCAAATATGTCTGACCGGATTTAAAAGGAGCCATCAGGGAAGATTCAACGGACAGAGCACACAAACGAAACTTGAAGTATCTCCAAAGAATTTAATTTCAATTTAAATGATTATGTTATTGTCATCTTATTGACAGACTTTTTCAGCTTTAGATCTGTTTACTGAGATTTACTTCTATGAATGACTTTATAATATAACATTTAAAAAAAATAATAATGAAAATAATTACTGCACTGCAAATATCAATAATATAATAATAATTATTATTACTGTTATTATAATAATAATTATTGTGTTTCCTATGCAGGATTAACTCATGCACTGAAAGGAGAAAGAATACTTTGAGGTCATATCACATCTTGGAAACCCCACGTTTTATTGCCGAACATGTCTACTGAGGTAATAGGTCTGGCCCTGCTTACAGAGATGCTTTTGTTAATTCCAGACAGATTCGCCTTCCAAAAAATCCAACACAGAAACAAGACACACACACACAACTGCACGTGAGGCAGGAGACTGGCCAAAGGCTTGAGGTAAGCATGTGTCAACATCTGGAGCCAAGTTAAAATTAAAATGCCGATAAGTTGAAGTATCTCATTAAATAGGGCAGTGGCTTTACACATGCACAATACACAATGAGTGGCGTGTGAACTCCAGTAACAGGGTCCTGGAAACACTCGTTGTGGCAACACAAAGCCCAGAGCTGTCTGTGTTTTCCTCCTATGCAGCTTCCAAACCAAATGAATGCTTGAATGGTGGAGCTTTTATTCGGAATATAAACTCCAGGTCTTTGCACTAATGGATAAGGCTCTCTCTAACTGAACTTTGGAAAGATTTTAAGTCAATAGTAGAAAGTTAGAAAACAATAATCCAAAGAAACTGAATAAGCATTCAAATGCTAACATCAAAAGAAATCATAATTTAATCATGTTTACAACTAGGCACACAGCTGGAATCTCACAGTACAAATTTTCAATAAAATTTGGATTTGGATTTACCATTGATCCAGTAATCCTCAGATATGTCGGTTCTGATGTAATGCTGGTCGTGAGGGGGTCCCAGGGAACGGGTGAATGTTGTGTCCTTGCCCAGAAAATCGGACGCTGTGCCAGCGTACAAGTACTGATCTGCAAGCAGAACAGAGGATCCACTACACTAAAAAACGTGTGACACCACCAAAGATCTGATAGCTCCTGATTTCCAGTAATGTCAGATTTTGTTCATTCTTTAAAATGACATGTGATGTACATGGGAAACCAACAGATTCTACCAGCATAACAAATCAGTGATGTCATTGTTCAGAATCCTCTTCAGTCACAAGGGACACACCAATGTTAAAGAGAATGGAAGTCTGGGGACTGCAACCTTCTCAAGGTCATTTGTTCTGGCTAGCTCTGTGAGTTTCCCTTTCTACACAGCAGTAGTAGTAGTAGTAGGCTTGGAATGAAAACCCAATACCCACACTTTGGCTGGAGTAGGGCCAGGCCCCCTAGTGAGTGTTTACAGGAACTTCGCAAAGGCTTTAGTGTGTGAATAGTAGTTACTCCCCTAGAAGAGCAAATGTCATTGTACTTGAACTTGGCCTGTTACCCGGGAGGGGAGAACGGATAGTTGACCTTTGACCTCCAGAGGTTATTTCTCCTAGTAGTCCCACCTAAGGGGTTTTTGTTCCTCTCCTCCACTTTTCCTTTTTAAACAGTGTGCTGTGTTTGTATATGTATACTTGGGGTGCTCTGGAGCAGCTACATTGAGGATGGCGATTTATAAAAATAAACAGGATTTAATTGTGACGAATGGCTGAGAGAAGCAACAGCCAGGCTGCCCATTCACAACAAGATTTCACAAGACCATGGACACCACAAGCAGGCTTCAACATCAGTATTCCAAGGGAGCTACTTGGAACTGCCCCGGATATTGCAAATGATGTAAGCTGCAGATTAACTGGAAGACGTCACACATGTTGCAGTGCAGAAGTCCCTCACAGTTCCAAGTTGTAATTCCATTGACAGTTAATCCACACCCAGAACATCACTCCAAGAACAGTGCTACACTGAAATCCCAGAGAACCATAAGGGTAGAACTAACCAATCCCTGGGTCAGAACATCACACAATCAAGGGAAACAGAATCATTGAAACAGAATCCAGCCTTACATAGACTTGGTGCTATTCAAAAGGTGAATGCCTACTGACTGGACTCCAAATCCTTCTGACATACTGGACCCCTTAGCCTTTTCAGTTCTTATGTGGCCAGCTAGAGGAACAGCAGACTAAGAGGCATGAAGTGGTAGCTCTGTTTGAAGTGGATGAATTAAGACCCTCTCCCTCCAGGACACCATAATGATGGAGCTTCCACATGGAGCTCCGAGCCAGGATTCAAGGGTAATTATCAGTGTTCATATCCATACATTCCTTCACGTGACAGACAAAAGACATCTCCCAGCAGAAGCAGATAAAGGCGGATAAATGGAGCAGGATTAGGATAATCGCTCTCCCCATTTCAGGAGGAGCCCATATAAATTTCCTTAATCCTCTGTCCCTTCAAACATTTCTGTGCATAATTCATTTCAAAAAGATTCACTGGCTCCCTATTCCTCATCAGCGGCAGCTCATCACCAAGTTACGCAGTTAAACATTGTCAAAAACCCACAATGTGTTTGTTTTTTTCATTTAAAGAATTCCTCTTTTGAGTTTGCATGGGTACGGCTAGCTGGTGGCCCATGGTTACAAAGGAAGCAGACGTGAAAAGAGAGCCTGAAGCACATGGACGATGGTGAGCAGGACAGCATTGCTGGCAGCACCCGGAAAGGGGCCAGGACCTTTCCGGACCTTTCCTGACCTTTCAGAACAGAGGCAAACGGCTGCCAGGGGTCAAACGGGCACTTCAGCCTTCCAGACTCAACGCTGTTGGTGTTCAGGCTAAACGTGGTTTCCTGTGGTGGACAACAGTTTAAAATACCATGGTTAAAGTACCATGGATAGGTTTAAATTTCATTAAACATAAACAGATTCTTACAGGTAGCTTGATTTTTTGAAACTCATTAGGTAAGTCCTTTGAATTTGATGAGTTCAAGTAGAACCCTTGATTTAGTTCTTTTACTTCATTCAAGTTTAAACACAAAAACCTATCTGAGAGACTGGAGATAATGTTTATCAACATTGCAGCTCAAGAACAAGCTTCCGTAATTGCTGGAAAATAAACAGTGAAGGACAATTAGCCACTGATGTTGGGCTAGCGTCTCTAACGGACTGCAGCATGTGCCTGGCCCCACTTCTCCATCATCTGCAGAACTTCTCCTACCTCTCCTTGTCCCTTGACCTCCACAAAGGCACACAAGGGGAAGAAGGCCCCTGTGCCACAGGCATAGACGTGAGTCCTGTTGTATGCATGGAGGACGCGGATGAAGTTGGCGCACTCCGTCTGTGGGCAGACACACCCAGATGTTTGACCCAAGAAATAATTATCACGCTCATGGAAACAAAGACACAGTCGAAAATTGTCTTACCTGAATACTTTTTCCAGCGAGAGTACACATCTCTACTCTCTCTTTTGGTGCAGGCCAGTTAATCTGTCAAGGGGCACAACAAAATCCAGCCAATCAGCACCAGAGAAATCCATCTCCAAGTACGACGCCTTTCCCTCACAGTCATCCAGTCGTAGAGAACATGACATATAATGTAGGATCACTAGGAGCCACCGGGCAGGAAGTAAGCTGGATGGGATCACAGTACATGTACAAACAGCTAATCTGTGTATCTTTTAACTGTGGGTGGACTTAGAGGAAACATGCACAGAAAGAACATGCAAATTCAACTCGGTGGGGCAGGAATCAACACCACCGCCCTGGAGGTGCAAGCTGAAGGCTAGTGCCCTCATTAAGGGATGCTGTGATGGATTTGTCATAACAAGGAAATATTTTGTGGAATTCTCAGAATTTTGTGGGGAAAACTCAGAAACAATGTAATACTGATCTTCCCACCATGTGCGTAATTTAATGATTTTGGGAATGATTTGTGATATAACTGGTGTGTGTGTCTCCTGAAATAAGGCCTAAGGACACACTTGCCAAACCCACACATGCGTCCGTGTCATAAAGTGCGGGACTGCATGACACGCAAAGCCTTGACTCTCACCAGGGCCAGTCACCTAGTGTTAAACGGGTCCAGGGAATCCCTAAATAACAGCTACATGCTATATTCGCTCACGTGCCTCCGAATGGACTTTGGAAGGCAAGTTGTGGAAGGCTTTGAAGCAGCTTGGCTGCAGTTAGCATGTGAGTGGCCCAGAAAAGAAACCCCACAATAAAGCAAGTAATAACCTCTCCCTGCCAAGAGAATGAAATCTTGGGGCCCAGGCAAGCTGGCATGTCCATCTAACTTGAGTAACTGTGTGACAGCCCTGCGCTCTCGTTTATCCCACCCCCCCATATCAAGGGCTTGGGTGTGCCAGGCTGGGAGCAGAACCATTGGCGGCATGTCTCAGAATTCTGTGACCAACCACCCCGCATTTTTAACCAATCAGGATATGAACACAGGGGTCATGGCAAGCTTGGGTCCCCCAACGCACATCTTACACTGTTGTTATATTTTGTCTCTCCACCTTCGTTGCCTGGCAAAACAAAGGCTGTCACCTAAGAGGCTCAATGGTACAGGAACCCATTAAAAGGACAGACCATGTATTATCTTGCTCAGTTATGGAGGTAGAATGCGGACTTTACTGCTGTGACCTTTTTAGGATAATCCTGGAGACAAACAAAGTCGTAGTTATGTCATTCCATAGTCAAAGCAACAAGTAACATATGGAGCGGCTGGAAACACACGACGTTCTCAAAGTCTACTTAAAACAAACACAGACGTGCCTCTTTCCGGTCCCCCGCTGCCCATGAGCCTTCTCCATGCCACTGTGAGAATGGCAAGAGTCTGTGAGTTTCTCTTGGTTTATTGGATTAGCGAAGTGGGGGTTGCTGACTTGCCGGCCCATAATCTGGTGAAATATGTGGCAGATGAACAAGGTAACAGCTGAGATGTGTGTGTTTTTTTCTCCGCGGTGAATGACGTATCCCTAGACCGTCCATGATGACCCCACACATAAATCCGTGGTCAGAGTGTTGATGGGTGCTTTGTAGGAAATGCAAGGTTTTATCTAGACTGATGCCCAAGACTGTAAATGTTTAAAAGACTTATTTCTATATTATGTCAAAATCATCTTGGCACCATTGCACAATATTTTATGCTTTACATTTTGTGAAAACCTCAACAAAAAAAACAAGGAAGACACTGAATTATAGCCATTTCTAAAAGGGCAGGAGGGTCCTGATTCTCATAAATGCAGCTTGAAGGAATACTGCTTGACAGGATCAACACAGCACTAATTGTAGTCATTTTAGACTCCTGGGCTGTGTCACCTTCACAGAGTCTGCAGTGGCCGAGTGGAGTTTCCGAGCAGGCAGGTGACAGACCAGGAAAGCTGGGAGATGGATCTGGTAGCTGGCCGGCCTGAGGACGACAGACGTGAGCGTTCACAGGGGGCCTCCTATTAGCAGGCAGGAAGTGAGCCTTTCTCAGACAGAGCTTAAAGTGCTCTGGGCCTCTGGTCAGACAAAACCCACGGAAACGCTACAGCGTCCCGTTTCTGAAACATTATCATACTAATGAGCTGTCATTAGGCGATTGCATTCCTTTGGAGAACAGAAGGAGGAGGAGGGGCTTTGTGCGTTTACAATTCCTTTGGAAGAGGAGGCTGTTTTCTCTTGCCGGGGTGGGGTGTGACAGACAGGCACTGCATCCTCTCATCAGATGTGGCGTGGGGGTGGGGTGGAGTAAGTACTGTCTCCTCAGCTGGTCCCAGGGCTCCCCTGATAATGACTGGCATGTTCGACTGAGGCAGGATGAAATTAATTGACCTAGCAGCATCCCTGGAATGCATTTCCGCGTCTCGTGCGTGGGCCAGGGGGGGCGGGGAGATACAGCATTGGACTGGCCTGGCACTGCCTGCCCTCTGAGTATCCACTGGCGGAAGCCTAGAAACCACACAGCTGACTGAGATCCGGGGCTCGTGGTCAAAAACAGTTCGCCTTACCTTCAATGCAATGCAACTGGACAGGAATGAAAATGAGTAGTTGTATATAAAAACATTCAAAACATATATGTAAATATATATATATATATATATATATATGTGTGTGTGTGTGTGTGTAGTTTATTAGAACATTTTAACTGATACACACAGGAATGTTGGCACTATAAAAAAACCCAATTTATTTGCTTAATTGATTGTAAAATACCTCAGAGAACAAAGGCGGGACTCATAAAACCTTTGGATAAGAAATGGTTTGAAAACTGACCCAGTGCACAGCATATTTTCACTGAAGGGTTTTATTTGTTTAGTGATGGATTCTATAGGATCACACTCAGAATCTGTTTTCGCGTATGAAGAGGAGATACGCTTGCATTTTGATTGGGATTTTAAAAACACCGGAGAGACGGAAATCAACATGGATATTATCTCCTGACCCTGAAGGGAGCACAGCTGACCAAACAGGCTGGATCGGAAATCTGTTGGGCAAGATCACAGCTGGTCTTTGAGGTTCTCTGCTATCAGAGGCTGGACACCATAGGCGAAGGACATGAGGTAGCAAAGCCATGACCCATGTGGATGCTGAAGGACACTAAAATGGAGTTTATTAGTGTGCTGTTGGAATCAGCTGAAGCAGTGTGCCACCCACCATGATTAAAATGTTATCGAAGGGCCACAAAGGAGGCCAAACCACCAGCTTGGGTGACGTGATGCTTTCCTTGTCACCCGGGGCAAAACGGCACCCCTGGCGCACAGCCAACTCAAACCTTTGCCACCACCATTATCCCACAAGGCGGCAGGCCTTGGGTGAAGATGACGTATGGGGATCACTTTTAAAAAGGCAGGAAGACCTCATTTAAAGACCACCTACGTGTCAGATAGGAGCGAGGCCCGCACTCGACCTCACTCACTCATCAGTGAGCCATGGCCAGCTTCATTGAACTTACTTTCACTCTAGAAGTTCTCCTAATTCAAATTTCCCGAAGGTTGCCCTTTAACCAAGCAAGCCGAGCTCTTCCATTAAACTTTGAGAACTTCAAATATCAAAACAAGACAGCAAAACATGTAACGTGTCACACATCATTAGGAGAGTCTCAATACTTTGACATCGTCCCTGACAGGACAGCTGGGTGAAACATCCCACTGTTTAATCAGCGCTAAAGAAAAGCAGGCTCTTGTCATCAGTTGCATGACAGCTGCTGTTTTTCTAAATCATGCCACCAAACAACCCTAATCACACAGACCTGAAAGCCAAATAGAGGAGGCTATTCAACCAGCCCTCGCCGTGCATGAAACCACATGCCTGTTTATTTTGCTTGCTAATTCTGACAGGTCAGAGGTGTCCATCAGCCCTCTTGCGACCACTGACACTCAAACGTGATGTTTTTCATAACATAACTGACAGCTTTCAGGTCTAGTTCACCTTTTTCAAGGGCTTCTGGAAAAATGTGTTTTGCCTAATACTTTGTGAGAGAAGAATGAGGATATTATCTGGCACATAGAAACATATCTGAATTCCTTAGCTTGTGCATTTCAAACCACCTGAACTAGACATCAGCCATTATGGAACGATCACAGCAGCATCCATACTCATGAAAGCACCTAAAAAAGCCAGGCCTGAGAAAACAGCCACTCACAGCGAAAAAACTGTACAGGAAATCATAAAATCGGTGTTTATACACTTACTAGCCACTTTATTAAGTATACCTTGCTAGTACAGGTTTGAACCCCCTTTTGCCTACAGAATCACCTTAATTAGCATATATTCAATGATGTTTTTCAAACATTCCTCAGAGACTTTGGTCCATGTTAATATATCATCACGCATTCACTGCATATTTGTTGGCTGCACCTTCAAGATGCGAATCTCCCATTCCACCACATCCCACAGATGTTCTATTGAATTGAGATCTGGTGACTGTGGAGGGCAGTTGGGTAAAATGAACTCAATGTAATGTTCCAAAAACCAGTCTGAGGTGATATGAGCTTTGTGACATGGCACGTTATCTTACTGGAAGTAGCCATATGAAGCTGAGTACACTGTGGTCATAAAGGGACAATGCTCAATTTGTTCTAAGGGGTCCAAAGTCTGCCAGGAAGATATGTCCCACATCATTATACCACTACCAGCAGCCTGAATTGTCAATATAAGGCAAGATGGATCCATGCTTCATGCCACATATGCTAAATTCTGACCCTACCATCTGAATGTCACAGCAGAACTCAAGCCAACATTTGTCCAATCCTCCCTTGTCTAATTTTGGTGAGCCTGTGCCCACTGTAAGCCTAGTATCCTGTTCTTAGCTGACACGAGTGACACCAGGTGTGGTCTTCCGCTGCTGTAGCCCATCTGCTTCAAGGTTCGACATGTTGTGCATGCAGAAATGCTCATCTGCATACCTTGGTTGTAACGAGTAGGTATTTGAGTTACTGTTGCCTTTCTATCAGCTTGAACCAATCTGGCCATTCATCTCTGACCTCTGCCACGAACAAGGCACCACTGCTCACTGGATGTTTTTTCTTTTTCGGCCCATTCTCTGTAAACCCTAGAGACGGCCGTGCATGAGAATCCCAGTAGATCAGCAGTTTCTGAAATACTCTTATCAGCCCATCTGGTACCAACAACCATACCACATTCAAAGTCAAACTTAAATCACCTTTCTTCCCAATTCTGGTGTTTGATGTGAACAATAACATTACATTGTGCTGCTGACATATGGTTGGCTGATTAGATATTTGCTTCAACTAGCAGGTGAACAGGTGTACCTAATTAAGTGTCCAGTGAGTGCAGGTACAGGTCTCTCTATCTAAGGTTGTATCTCTTCACTAGCAAAGTAAGACCCATTATCAGAGATCCTCACCACCCCAGGCACCACTGTCTCATCTGGTGTGACACCAAAACACAGATTCAGGTATCACAAACCTGACACCCTCAGAATTCAGAAGAACAGGTTCACCAGCAGCTTCCTCTCACAGCAGTAAGACTGGTGTCTGACGACATACAGGGTGGGGTAACCCATCCAGAGCCCATAGCCCAATAAAAACATGCAGAGTTAGGTAGCTTATCCCAGTCCTATAAACCATTCAGTCAGATAACCGTGCACTGGTCTGAGGGCCTGTGAATATGCTATATATGTCTGACTGTGTAAGTAGATACACATGTGCCATACATATTCATATGTCTTATGCCTGTCCATGTCTGTGTCAACTGTCCTGTATTTAATTATGCCACAGAGTGAACCATGCTCACGAATTCCAACATACTTATAAAACTAGCAAATAAAGTATCGTATCTTATTTACAATGCAACTTCCACGCCTAAGGGCGAGAAGCCCAGATCTGAGAGGTGACCCAGCCACCCACCTTCCTGGGGTTGCTATTGAGGTCATCCAGCTCCAGCAGGAAGATGTGGTCCTGGGCACCAAGTAGCAGGCGGTTCTGCTCCTCGTCCAACAGGAAGCTCTGGAAGCGCAGGCCCGGGGCAGAGCCCAGGAACAGGGTTGCACCGCCCGACAGCTGTAGGTCTGCGCCAGGGAGAGGAAGCACAGTAAATGTATCTCGCTACTCCTGGAACGTTTACAACACATTCACGCACAGCAGGATTTCCAGACACCACTTCCACGAACAGGTGCTTTAACACGCTTAGCTACACACTTACAAACAGGCCTGGAGAGCTGGCATCATCTCACAAGTTCTCATTAAAATATTCTCCTCCAAGGTGGGGTTATCTGATCAGTTTGCAAAAAAGCTGGTAGCTTGGAAGTTCCCTAAGGGAGGTGCACCATGTATTTTTACTTTTTAGAGTATAAGAAAAATGCATCTATTTGCAAAAAAAAGGAAAACACGCTGTATGTAATATTGGATATTCAAGATCACGTTCTCTCATAAATTCCAGTAAAGTGTTCTAGGCATGAAGAAACTAATGCCTTAACCCACAAAAAAGCCATAAGCATCAACAAAGCAAATATCCTTTAATGCATGGCTGTCCTCACTTGTATTGCATTCAAATGTATTGAGGGACATAGTTTGGTTCCAGTGACCGTAGGATAAATATTTATAAACCATGGAGAGATGGTTATGACATTCTCGCATTGCTGTGTTCAGAATCAACATGAAGATTGACATGCCTCTGAGCATAGTCATTAAAGTTGTTTCAGATGTAGCGTAAAGATTTAGGTCATTTGTCAGACGTCTTCCTTCCTTTCACACATCTGGCAGTCATCCTCCTGGGAAGGGAGCCCCAGGGGCTATGAGCTGCAGGACAATGAGCAGTCTGGAAGATTATTAGCAGCACTCAGCTCAAGAGGAGATGACCATATTCTCCACAAGCTCAACGAAAACGTTGCACAAGAGAGATGAGGTCTGAAAGGACGAAGGGTCTGATTAGACCTGGGTGTGAGGGATTACGCAGGTCACTTTCAACTAATATTTGCAGATCCACATCTCTGGACATCCCCCGCCAGTGCCCCTGCTAAGCCCCTAAATAGATTAGACGAGGTCCAACTTCCCTAATCTGTTATGTAAACACATAGAGCCAAGAGCCAAACCAAAGGCTCGGCCTAGAGCCCTGCTACATGCTAATTCAACAACACCTGATTAATGTGGGTGATGAAGACGTAATCCTTTCATTTATTTGTGCATGATAGTGCATGACATTGTAGCTGTACTGTGATACACCCACCATGGCTGATGTTCAGGATCAAAGACTTTGCTACTGCACTAATGATGAAGAAGAGACCACCCTTTGGTTGAGTAAAAATGTAACTGTCTCTCAGTCTGATGTGGGTAAGCAACAAAATGCCACATACTCCTTTAATGACCATGATGCTGGGGTGGGGGGAGGAATGGCTTCAACTGAAGAGACAGTGCTGATGGACTTGCCTGGGCGTGTAGGATTCCACATCTAATTAGGTATGAGGGATCAAAAGTCTTTCAAGCTGGATTTTTAGTCTGCCTGCCTCAGTCTGCGTGGAACTCATCGGACAGTCTGTAAATCAATTTAATTCATGACCCAGGTTACGTCTGCAGTTAAAAACGGCAGGTCAAGTCTGCAGTTATTTATTTAGGCTAAGGAACCATGCCTCCCATTTAGGGCAACTCGAAGCAATACAGTAAAATAAGCAAAAATAAAACATGAAAAGCAAACTTCTGGCAGACGAACAGGAAGATTCTTAAGGATTTGTGAAGTTTACTTAATGAACGATATCGGCGCATATCTCTAGAGTTCATCTGTATTGCAGAGGAAACCATTTCCCACAAAGCGGCCTCATGGGATTCCATCAAGCTCAGGATTCAGCCACAAACAAACATCTTCACGTAAAAAACTGTTATTCCATTTCTGTGTCATTCCAAGTCATAGCAGCCTGGAGGTTTTCTTGAGCTAGCCTTCTAGTTGGAGCTGAAGGACAGTAAAGCGTAAGACCCCAAGAAGCTCATTCTTCATCCTGCTTTACACCTCCCCATATGGGCACCACCAGCCTGAATAAGGAGCAAAGGCCAACAAAGGGATGCTGGCACAGATTTTTCAGAGAAAGCCACGTAATACAGGCAGTGTATTGTCTTAGAGATATCCCCGGCCCCAAATTCCTCAACAGGATGCTCCGAAGTGTGTTCCAGGAGATATCAAGAAGGAATATTCTTCACCCATTTTACGGGAACACCAAAACCAGTCAGGCTGCATTCTTTGTTTATAAGGGAGCATTTTTGAAATCAGCGCTGACGTGAATGTTGGACCTGGAGCTGAGGGATTTAACACTCCCATAGCCACTGCGTGTTTGAAGACCGATCGCAAGCAGGGCAGTATTTAAAAAAAATCTCATTTATTAGTGACCACAATACTTTGTAATTCATCCTTTTACAGGGGATTTTCCGAAAGCTGATTTCCTGGTCGATGAAAAGAGAGGTCATTGTTTTTCGAGGTACTTAAACTATTTGGGACTCAAATTCAAGAAAAAAACAACAACTTGTATGATCTTCTTAACCATTATGTTACACAAAGACATAGCTGACTATTCAGTACTTTACCATTCAGCAAGTGAGCATCCTAAAATAAAAATTTCAAAGCAAACTATAGCACCAATATATCATTTAATCATTGATTCAGATGAGACAGACAATCTCTGAGTCTGCTGCTTGTATTGTAAAGATGAATGCCCCCTTAAGGTTGACTGCAGTATCTCTGGTGAGGTTAACATACTATATATACATACAAACTGCCTGTAGACTACAGACTACCTTAAGCAGTCTGTCCTAGGTAATGAAATACACTACGTGCATTCATACATATGCATGTAGAGAAATATAGAAAAGCTGCTGAACACAAGTTAGCTAAAGCAGCAAAAGGAAAAGAGACTGATGCTGTCATAAAGTGTTTTATTACTGTGGTTACTGAGGCTGAAGAGTATTTTAAATGCAACCATGCAGTGGTCACACAGATTCCATTGCCTCACGCATCAGAGTGACGCTCACACGCCTCTCCGGTCCCCACGTATCTCTCTTTTTTTTCCCAGTCAGTCACATGATGTGCTCCAGAGCGAGATCCAATAACAGGCACGCTTATCGGATCTGTGGCGTGGGCGGGGGGGGTTTGGCACAACGTTCATTTGGAGAGACTCCTCAGCGGTAACCTAGGAAGGGCATCGCTGAAGAACACACTACTCTGAATGCTTTTTTTATGCATGTCTGCGGTGGGTATGTCAGGGTCACATGACTGCCTGCAAGGGCAAACGTAGCAGCAATTAATCCTTGTGTTTGGCTCTCTGCTCCCAATGAAACTACAAGCTATATGGTGCTTTTTAGCGTCTTCTTTTTTTTGTTTGTTTTTTTAGCTGTACGGTGCGCTGACAATAACCCGCTCCTTCATACCAGCAAAACCAAGGAGCTCATTGTGGACTTCAGGAAGGAGACGAGAGACACCTATGACTCCATCCACATCAATGGCTTGGCTGTTGAACGGGTTTCCAGCTTCAAAATCCTGGGGACTCACATCTCAGAGAACCTGTCCTGGTCAACCAACATCTCCAGCCTGATCAAGGAGGCCCATCAGCCTGAACACTGAAGAAGAACCACCTGTCTGCTGACATACTGGGTAACTTCTACCGCTGTGCGATAGAGACCATCCTGACCAACTGTTTTACAGTCTGGTATGGGAATTGCTCTGTTGCTGACAGTAAGACACTGCTGCGGAGGGCGAAAACCGCCCAACGCATTATAGGGACTCCACTTCCTGCCATTGAGGACGTCCACAACAAGAGATGTCTATGCCAGGCACACAGCATTCTTAGGGACTCCTCTCATCCTGCTAACAATCCCTTCCAGCTCCTCCGCTCCAGAAGGCTCTGCAGGAACCTTCAGACTAAAACCAGCAACATCGGCGATGAGTCATGACAGCACATTAACGAGACATAGCTTTCCATCCTCAGGTCAACAAACCTAAGTCAAATTAACACGTCATGAACGAGAGTGTTAGAAAAATAAACGCCGATTTTGAGTCATTATCGGAACAACCAGTTGGTGGATAGCAGCTGCCTCGCTTACCTTTGTATCCCAGTTGGACTCGGGGTATGGCCTGCTTCATGCCAGCCCCCCCAGGGAGGAGCGCCAGCAGTACCCCACAAAGACTTGGCCAAAGAAGTAAGGGGCACCAGCGCCTGCTGCTCCCAGTCCTGCGGCCCACAAGCGGGGCTGTGTCCATGGCGTGCTGGGGGTGGCGTGGGGGTGCGGTGCCACAGCTGCTGTGGGGAGAGGGGGGCAGGTTAGCCCTCAGCCACAGGGGTATTTGTACATCAGCCTCTTGAAACTGAGGACCCTCCCCAATGTGGGTACTTTGCTGTTTTCCATGGTACCTCTTTGGCATGCCTCGCCCCCATCACCCCCCCCCGCCATCAGCTGCTCTGCACCCTCTCCTTTGTCTGTAGACTTCTCTAAATCTGTTTGCCGCAAACACAAAGTCTAGCTGACAGAAATAGCCTCAAAGTAGCAAGTCCGCTGGCATCACCCCCCACCACCCTTTCTCATGTAAAACTCCCCCTTCCCCACTCATAGCCGCATATCAGCCCCCCCTTTGACGTCGGCTGGCCGTCCTTTTAACCCAGTCCGCCCTCATTAATCAGTCCCCCGACGCTGGACTCGCTGTGACAGCCGAGATGTAGCAATGCCATGGGCTCCATTACTTCTGGGTCAGAACCTCTCTTTTCAGGGCTGGCCTCTGTATAGTCCAGCCTGGCTCTAAGAACCCTGAACCTACACCAGCTTTTCCCACACATACACGCACACCCCACCCCCTGTCAAACAATCCCCGACCCACGGAGTGAATTGCGCGGACACAATGTGCTACTCTGACCCGAACCCCAACGATGTCCTGCAGATCAAAAGCAAAATTCCCATTCACACATTCATGCTGACGTCCTAACGGCCTTATACATGGAAAATGTACTAATTTAAATTAAACAGAAGGGCAGAAGGGAAAAATAAAGGAATTTCACTGATTTGACCCAGCTAGTGATACTGTATCACTGTAGCTATCGAGCGGAGCTGGCCCTTGCGATATCTGTGCTATCAGTGCATGCGACAGCTCCTCACACCCAGACGCTAGAGTGGGGCGGGGGGGGGTCATGGGGTGGGATCATTGCTGATAAGAGCAGACAGCCTGTTTACCTGAAGGAGCAGCTTCCTGCTCATCCCGGCTACCAAACGAAAGACAGAACTGTGAAAATCGGCAGATGAAGTATTGCAAAACTCCAAGGAATGGGGAAAGCCATCGTCACCCCCTACCCCCCCACCACCGGGGCCCGCCTTCCCCCATGAGACCTGCCAATGCTGGAACGCCCTCGGAATATCGATTTCAGAAAACACTAGTCACACATTCCTCACCTTTTGATTTAATGTTTTACTTCAGAACTATTATTCCGAGTTGGAAAATACTTTCTGTTAATAAATTCAGGTAACAAAAACACAAACCTTGTTTGCTTAAATAAAAAAACAAAATGCTAATGTCAATAAACAGCTGAAATCACATACAGTCATCCTATGCCAAGATTGTAAAATATTACTTATCGTTCCTGTGAGTTGAAGCATTTTGGAAAAATCACTTAAGTTCACTGAAAACAGTGAACTGTATCAGCACGTGTCTTTAAAGTTTATACAGAAAAAGTGTCTTATTTGCACAGCCGGGGTGGGGGGGGGGGGTCAGTTTGCTCAACAGGCCAAGCACTAAAAAACGAGGGGACAGCGATGTGTTCTACGCTCAGCTGGGAGCGGCTCGTGCAGACGGCCCCTGGTGGCCTCGCACAATTGAGATGGCCCCGACGTGGCGGGAGGAGAAGAGGGCTTGGTGTGTCGCTATTGGCAACAGGTGAACGGCCGGACCAAACTCAGGCATGCGGAGAAACCTGTTATTGCGCTGAGAGGGGAAAAAAAGGAAAACACAATGATGGCCAGTGAGAGACCTGCATCATGTGATCGGCATGTGTCCCCCACACACAGCCTATCAGGCGCCCAGCGGACAGGAGTTCTGGCAGTACTGGGAAGAGGTTTGCAACGCGTTCCCCCACATCAGCACTGGCAGCCTGTCAGGGTCGCTCCGCCGTGGCGTGTGGATGTGTCTGGAAGACGTGGCATCAGCAGGTTTCCAGGTCCCGTCGTATTGAGTTGGACTCCCCAAAGATCACGGGGGGGGCTGACGCTGCCAATCAGGTCCTGCTTTTTCTAAGGACGCTTCTGTTTATGCTGCCAATTAGGGAGCACTTACCTTACAAATAAAACGCAGTGGGAGGTCTCTATCGTGTTTAAGGTGATGCCTGCACAGAAACACAAGCACCGTACCATAATTCTACTCCTTCACTCATCTCTCTCACAATCCTATTTTTTCAACATAAATCGCCATTTTTAGCTGGATAAACTCGTAGAATGAAAGAAATTCTAAGGGACCACCAACATTTACCATGACGCAGCTCAACAATGCAGTCCTTGATGCATGAGAATGAATCTCGTTCCCTGATTGAGGATAAGCCGACCTTGACTCTGAAACAAACGCTTTTCAACTGCCGTTTCTATAACCTTCTGTCAACAAGGCTGTAAACACAAGTCTGTGACCAAACCGTTCGGATGATCTTACCTGCTTAACATTACTCATAAGCCCCTCTGCTATGAGCGATGTAATATTAAAATGCCACCTTTCATAAAGCTCTTTAAAAATGGAACTTATGAAAAGCAATCATTTTTCGTGGTGCCTTGGCCCTTCCTGAGGCCATCTGGAGTGTTTTTATAGCGAAAGGGGAGAAGAATAGAAAGTTCAATTTAAGGGGAATTGAGAAGCCTGTAGACAAAGCATGTTCTGTTGCCCTTTGAAGACTATGAATCTCCATAATCCAGAATCAGCAATGGACAAACAGCAGCAACCACTGGATCAGCTCAGAATTCATTCGGTTCAAATTTATAAACAGAAACATGTAAGAGAGACAAAATTATAACCCAAAGAGCCAAGAGTGAAGTGTTGATATTAGAGAGGGACCGGTGGATATCGTGTGTTTTGTGGCAGCAAATCGGTTACGCTGTGTGATTATTCTTTCCAGTCCCAAGAAGAGTTGCCATCTAGGAGATCTTAACTCTACCAAAACATATGACTGCAACCCGTAGGAACTGCTCAAGTCTGTCAGAGTCTGGCACCAGAACACCGGTTCCCAGTTTATAGTATAGATGTGGAGGGAAGGGATGTGTGTACATTACACACATAGACAGGTGCTGTTCATTCAGGCGCTTGCTGAGCTTTTCTGTATATGAACCCAAGGAGTTTGTTGAAATCTGCACAACAGCACAGAGCGCTAAATCATTTAAAGGAATGCATGTAATCAAACAGACAAAGTATCTGTCACATCAGCTACATAGTCTATGCATCCTTAAAGAGGGAAAAAAAAACATCCAGAGAATGTTGAATTTAAACACTTTTGGCAAGGTGATTTATTTCCTAAAACTAGACATGTTTAGTATCTAATCTTCCTCTTACTCACACTGTAACATCCAATTGGTCATCAAGCTCTTAATTAATGCAAACAAAGAAGCTCAAATGCCTGATAAGCTTCCAACACTAACAGCATATTGTTAAAAGTCAAAAGATTTACCACAGAACCAGAGATTATAAATATAAAGTTACAGTGAATCTGATAATGCTTTATCTTTATATACTTTATCCCTTGAAATGAGGCTCTTTATCTCCATGGGATGTACCATCACAATGACGCATTTATAAAATGTGCCTTTGGCATTGGTAAATGACTCAGATGTCATCTCGGACAGTGTGAAGGGACACCCTCTCCATAAATCCTGTTGCAAATCGGCTTATCAGTGAAAAAACCCCAAGAACGTGAGATTCAGAGTCAGTGTCACCCTAATTCCAACCCCCCCGACCCTCTCTAGTATAATCATATTTGGTTCCTCCAAACAACGGCCTGTTCTAAGGAAGTGGAATCAAATGACATTTCTTTACCAATCCATTTAGTCCAAATGGCATCAGTGCTCAACATTCAACTTTCAGTCCTCATTTGACTTTAAAAGCCCGGGCGTCGGGTACGAGTCACTCGTCTGCAGACACTCAGAGGATGCTGGGAAAAAGGACAGATGTCACAGGGGTGGCATGAAATCCCTTAGATGAAATAATCTTTCGCACTAATCCGGAGCAAATCGCAGGTAACTCAAGACATTCTGGACAGCCTCACTGATACCCTTCGCAGCCTGCTCATATCTGCACCTCACAATTAAGGCCGGGGGGTTAAGTAGTAACTGATACCCCTTACAAATCGTCCCTGTGGCTCGAGGTTAATCGTTACCGGGATATCACTCATCTGCATGTGGTTACGGCCACGTAAGTCCGGCAAAAATGCAGCTCGCACTAGTTGTGAAAGTGCAGCTCTCTGTTCTACGTTCCCCCGGCGTGTTGAGCACCCACGGCTCAAAGGGCCCTTTGTGCTCAGACTGGCCGCGGAGCGATACCGCGCAGGCAGTGGCGGAGACCTGCACGAGGAGCCGTGGGCACTTAGACGACTCGCTAATTCAGTCCAGTGCCTCTACCCTGTTTCTCCTGCCTCCCTCTGTGATTTCTGCCTGTTTTTTTCCAGAATATTAAAGTACAGAGGAATGGCTCGAGGGTACAGGGAATGACAGCCGTGCCAGAGTGCAGTAAAGGAGCGTTTAAATCACCCAGGCATCTCTACCAACCACAGTGTGGCCTGAGTTCCTGATGAGTAGTAGACGGTAGCTAAAAGGAACTTGTGGAATTACTCATACTTTACCAGCCTGTATGTTGGTTACAAACGTGTTACTACAAGGGACAAATGCAGGCCACCACATCCGGCTGCAAGAGGACTGCAGGAACCCCTGGTTCCCATACTGGTGTCTTTTTCGTCTTTTAAAAATATAATAAATGATTCCCCCTGGCCCCTCTCTTATCAGATGAGTCCTTTGGTAGTCGGCCAGGGATTGTACACCAACAGAAATCACACTAACGTACTGAATGATAATTTAATACGATTCTGAGTTTAATAACTTGTTGGCAAAATGTTTCATAAAATAAAAATTATGCAGCTTGGATGGAGGTTCAAGTCTGACATAGGGCTTTTATTTGGGTGGTATATAATGTGATGTAGGATAAATCTTAATGTAATTAAATAAATACTCATTCAATTACCTACCCATACAAAAGAGGTTCGGACAGATTTCATTCACCTGTGTGTATGAATAAACAGAATAAACATAATTAGTACTATTTGGCGCACTTTCATTATACTGTATGGAGATGATTAAATACTAGCTCAGACCCGAGCTTAACTTACTGATAGAAAGGGTTGACTATTACTGAACATGAAAAGCCTTAGAAGAGACAGGGTAAATACAGGGTCCGTGAACACGCCAACCAGCTGGAGAAAGTTTACAAGAAACGATCGCGCCGAAGTATTTCATTAAGTTAAACTTTTCCTAATAATTACACTAAGTGTTCAAACGGTTAAATTAAGTTAATAACATGCTTGGAAAAGAGAAAACCATGGGCAAAGCAAAATGACAGCGATAGCCTACTGGGAATTTAATTTATGACTAGGCTACTGTAGAATATCACAACACAAATTAGCGGCACTTGAAATTAAGATGAAGCTTAAAATAATGCATTAACAATGATATATAATATAAACATGGGATGCTGAACTGATTGCCTGGACATGATTTTCACAAAATATTATAATACTCAGTTATTTCGACGCTCTTTTAATTCTTTATTTTACCAAACGTGTTAACGTGACTGCAAACGTTCCATTATCCTTTGACGTATATTCACTTAAATATACATGTATAATAAACAGTTTAAGTATTTACCGTCATGAGTACAACACCTGAGAGTAATTTTTTAGAGAATTAGTTTTATTTGCTTCAAACACCTTTGTTAATCTAATATAAACTTAGCGACCTGAAGCTTACCTGTATGCACGGTGTCTTTAGGCGAAAGAGGAGGAGGTTTCTGACACACGAATAGATGCCACTTGAAGATAAGAGATCATCCAGACGCCGCGAGGCATACTCTGCCAAACTGGGGCTGCTTGTTTAACGGGGCCAGGGGGCGCAGATGATGCAGGGATGTTCAGAACATGACCCTACACGTAGGCGGGGAAGGTATGGCCGTATAGGACCGCGCCGATCGCTGCCGTTTTCGGACAGTTTTGGGACCGAACTTTTCCGGGCGTTTGCGAACTGTCAGCGCGCTCCCGTCCTGTGGATAAGCAGCTGGATCTGGAGCCTGTGAACCTACAATTAGGGGCCGTCCATACAAGGGAGGAGCCCAGTCTCAGCCTCCAGTTGCTCCGCTCCGAGCTGGATTTCTCCCTTTCTACCTGCCAATGTCTTCACTATATAATACTACTCCCCTTTCCAGCCTGCCTTTATGATAAGCTTAGATTTAATGATCAGAAATTCGTTGTATCATAAACGTTACAGCCATTCCCGCACAATGCTTAAATGATCTTGTAGGCTAACTTAAAAATGACTTTTATAAGGTTTTACCTTCGTCTTTTCACTTCCATTATTTGCATAAATTGCAATACTGGTGTAAACGATTTTAGTACTGAATTGGACATCTTTGACGTTTGCCACTTTCATAGAAATCATATAGCCTACTGAAATAACCAGGATGTAATGACTTAAGCGACTTTCTGCGCATTTAAGGTTGTGCATTAATAATTATAGACCCATTATATTTGTCTTCGCTCCAGATCAGAACATCACTGGAACGTGTATTAAGATAGTTTTTAATGACCATCTTTTTACATAGGCTACAGGGAATGCGTTACACATTCTTTCTTTACGGAAATAGCCCATAAGACCAACTGAACTGTCATTCCCACAGACCGAAAGTACAGTAGGCTGTTACTGTAGATGCCGCTTCTAAACAGCATATCATTCATTGCTGTTTATTATTGCCATTAACGCGAAGGGGCAAATGTGTGCTTTTCTACTCGTTCAGTCGGGATGAGATTACTGTAATGTAATACATTCCGTTAATTACAGAGTTTATTTTAACTCGTATAATGCAGCTGTCACATGCAGTTAGAACATGGCATCGCTTATTGTACAGCATAATTACAGGGGAGAGAACGCGCTTTGATATAAACCGCGTTTCGTTACTGACTGTAACATGTGCAGCCTGGCGTAGTGCACTCAGCGGGGATATTTCGGACTGCGGGAGATGGACGTCAAAGGACCGAAGGAGCTCAAAAGTCACCATTTATGGACATAATACAAGTCCATTTTCTCCGCACTTAACCGGCAGTGACAGTCATTGTAAACTCAAGTTGAGTGATGTTTTCAGTTAAGGTGGAGCTACAGCAGCTGAGATATAGGTGAACCTCAGTTATCACAAATCCATCAACAAGGACACCACTAAACAACCGGCGCAGTCTGGGATACAGGCGCACTTCCTAACTAAGGGCACTGATGCCTCATTTGTTTATTCAGTTAACACTGTAATTTTTTTCTAACTGCACGTTAGCACTGAGACTGAGAAGACTGGGGATAATTCCCGGCTGGCCGTTGTACCATGGGTCTGGAACGTGGAATACCCTCCCCTCCCCTCATCGTCCACCCCCGGAGTGAAAAATATTCAAGGGGAATGCAATTTTCCGAGCTGAGTTTTGCTCGATCGGATCCAACTTTTCCACCCAACGAGGGAACTGTTTCAAAATAAAAACAAAACAGACGCGCTCTTCCGTCTGCACTGTTAAATATACCTGTTTTGCTGCAAAGAACAGGCATAGGTGTAGGTATGTCTTTCCAGGACGGCACAGCGCTGGGGTAACTGGGATCACAGGGATCATTTTGCTGTGCCTGGCCGTCTGACACATCGGGCGTGGCGCAGTGCAGCTGAGGGTTTCCCCCTTTGGCTGCGCCAAGCGCTGTCCCGGGGCGGGAGTATTATTACCGGGCGAGAGATTCCAGCGGAATCACAGAGCGGTAGCCAGCCGGGGCGTGTGCCCAAGCGCGCGCACCCTGCGGTCCAGAGCGGGGCGGGCGGGCGCGCCACGCATGCAGGGGAGTCTCGAGGCTTTGTGCATTCTGCATCTGCACGAAAGTTCATACAGATCGACATAATGGTTTCCTACTGAAAACAGGTCTAGGATTTTATTAGTCACACAACACATTGCTAAAAATAACATTCCGTTGAGGTAGTCAGAAAAATTGGCTAATAAAAACACTGGAACATGTTAGGAAAACCTTTTAAGAAAATCGTTGGTGGCTAAGTCAACATAAGGTATTAAATACCTTAACAGAAAGGTGTATGTGTCCAATGGCATAGGAGAGAGTTTGAGACTGTGGGGGGGGGATACACAATCTAATAATATAAATACAAAGGTCTGTTTGTTGGGAGGATGAATGAAGCCAAATTTGGGGGGACACGTCTCCCCAGGTTCCTGCACCCCTGCATGTGTCTTTACTCCATACAAAGCAAGCAAGACAGTCCTCTAATAAACTAAGTTAGGGTTATTCTCCCTTTGTCTGTGTTTAACAAGTTTAATTATTAAAAACCTATACTATATATTACAAGTATTGTTGTGATAGTTGTTGTGAAATGCAATTCCTGTTTTGAAGTGCTTTCACACGACTTGTGAGTTCCTTTAGCTTCACACTAGCCCCTTTAAGAAGACAGGAGTGCAGTGGACGTCTTCTTAAACTCCCCCTTTTCCATCTTAGCATGGATGATGACACATCTGCTCCCTCCTCATTTAAGGAGAAAAAAAAATGATGCTCCTTCAAGCTGTTCTGTTCAGTCCTGCTGCTCTGTGTTGGATTAGAGAAGGCAAAACATTTTCTTTCAGATTGCGGCCCAGCAGGTCTGTGGGAGACCCAAATTACAATGCGGGAGAAATCTGCGAATAATTTCTGGAACAGGATTAATCAGCTTGCAGATCTCCAACAGGCAAGGCATGCAGCCAGCCCTGTTACCCCATACACTCTGCTCAGAAAGCCAGTTATTAGCCTTAAACGGGTCCGACTGATTAGCTAATCATGCTATTAGTGTACCATAGATACAGACGGGCCCAGGGACTGAACTTTTAGTAATTGTAATAATGCTTATCAATAATTAGGATAAGAATCAATAATTACGCCTCACAGATGCCCTGTCTGCAGTTATCAGGCCCAAAGCAATAAAGTACCTAAAGTATAAAAACCACCCAGACAGAACCACCCAGAACCTTCCAGAACCACAAGACCTCCTGGCAGTGCATCTGTAAACAGGACACCAGTGTTGCTCCAGTTTAGATATTTTAAACACGTTTGGATAACGCACGGTGCCTGGTTTTTCTTATGTAGTAGAATTCTGGTTAAAACCCTTAAAGGTATCACTGAGAACCTTATATGGGGTAATGCAAATTTATACCAAACTTTGTAAAATATAGCCATTGTCTTGGTATGTACTGTAAGTAAAACTAAGGGTTGTTCATTACTATATTTGGGAAATTACGGTACATTACAAAACTAGCATACACTATATTTGAAAAATTACGGTAAGTTATAAAACCAACATGGAGTCCCTCGTCAGCTTTATGTGAAGCCTGAGGAAGAATATCCAGCATGATCGTTTTGCGCAACATGATCTGTTAGGTGGTATGTTAGTTACATTTGCCATGAACGCATTTTATGGGCCTTAAGCAAGGGAGTTAAAAGCCGGGGTCTTGCTCCAGCAGGTCACTTTGAGTAGGTAACCATCCTTCTGAGAGCCTGTCATCACCAGGGCCTGCATGCTATGTCCCACTTTAACACCCTCTTGACTCCTCGTTTCCTCCAAAAGCAGTTACGCGACCTGGGATACCGGCTGACTCTCGGGATGACAGCCTGAAAAGTTTCCGGCTGCTGTGTTGAATAATGGACACATTGCGGGTTACAAGGCCCTCAAAGGCCTAACCCTAGTCAAATAGCTACAGGACGGACATGCCAAAGACACCCTAGAACGACGGATCACCTCCGGAAAACTGGGCCTCTTTCCATGACCTTCAGTACCAGAGTGAGCATAAAAGGCTTTATCTAGTCAACACAGCACAAAACTATATTTCATATGCATATAATATGCCTGTTTGTTTTAGGGAAAATGATGGCGCAAATGCCATGGGGTATTCATTAAGTCGCTGTTAATCAGCTGGCAGATAAATATTCTTTGGCGGGCGCTCATATCAACATGCGCCATGTTGCCGCCTTTTGAACAGATTTATAAGTTTGCCTGGATCAGTGCGGATCAGCTCAAGGGCTAACACGGCAGGTACGTCACGCTAGACTTGCGTAACACGATGCGGGCAGATGTGCAGCATTTTCCAACATGGATAAATTGTGTTTCTCATTTTCAAAGTTTTCCCCAACTTTTCATTCCATTTCATTAATTCCAGAAACTACTCCTAAATCATTTTACCCTCCGCGTTTTACTCAAACAAAAGGCATCTATTTTATAATTCATCGATCGTGTGGCACTCAAACAAACAGTATTTTTGGCTGAAGTGGCACTGAAAATGTTCAGTTTTACTGCCAGCAGCTGTTCAAGTATCCACACTTGCGGGTGACCTTAATTTTTTATTTAATTTTTTTTAAAAAGCAAAACTACACACATAAAAACAGACCTCAAATTAGTTATCTGTAAACAAACAGAAAGGTCAGCCTCCGCAACCCCGCTTCCCCTAACTGCAGGTGCTTCCAAAGCTCTGAATCAGAAGAATAACGTTTTTGTTTGATTTTCTCATAAATTCATTTGCCAGGTCAATCCAGAAGCACATGTGCACCACTGAACTGTTTACTCATTTCTGCTGGGGGGCGTTGGAGGTCAGCCCTGCTGGCCCGGAGGTGACTTCAGACTCAAGCAGACACCTCTTGCAAGCAGAAGCTTTGTGGCAGAACCTCAACATCACTAACAGACAGTTAATTCGGGAATCGCACACATTTACATGTTTTGTACTCTCACAGTTCAGCGTTAACTTGGGAATGCAGCAGAAATCGATCAGTTTTTACAAGTGCTTTTTTACACTTGCATGTGCTTGTCTGTGTGAGTATGTGCCCTGTGATACACTGGCATCCAGTGCAGGGTGTGCCTTGTGAAACTCAGGATAGATTCCAGGATTACACACTGCACTGGATTAGTGTCTGTGGATTCTTGAAAAGCACAATATAAATTAAACACTATTATTATTATTGTTGTTGTTGTTGTTGTTGCTGTTATTTTTAGCAGCAGCAAAAATGACAGAAAAAGAT